ACCTCCTCTGTGCTGGGAGCCGCAGCATGCCAACCTGGAAGCCTCCTCTATGTTGGGAGCCATGGCTCACAGACCTGGAAGTCTCCTCTGGGCTGGGAGCCACAGCACACCCACTCGGAATCTTCCTCCTAGCTGGGAGCCATGGGGCACTGACCCAGAAGTGTCCTCTGGGCTGGCAGCTGTGGCATGCCCACCCGGAGGCCTCCTCTGGGCTGGGAGCCCCAGTATGCCCACCCGTCATCATATTGATTTATGTGTGACAGATTAAAAATTAATGAAGCTTTATATCTCACAGTAAAATTTTGATTTAAACAATTGTATATATGGTTTTACTTTATTTTCTAGTTTAAACATTTTTTTCTTGACTAGGTAATACATTCACTGTACAGAAGATAAAATATAAAAGTACAGCTCTCATCCCCTCAGCTAAACCTAGTTACCTTCCCTTACGACAGTGAACAGTAAGAGCTTCTCATGTACTTTTTCAAGTTATTCTATACTTAATGCTTTGGCTCTGCTGACATGCATTAAGGGTATTCAATTTATTATTTTGCAGGTGGATTTTATAGTTAAACATTGACAGCTTTCTTGAACAGTGTACCTGATACTATTCAAATATGTATATTAAAACATAATACATTTTCATTTCTAGCTAATTCTGACAATCATTTGGTTCTTGAAGTTATTGTAGTTTTAACCTCCTTTCTTGTCTACCTTTTATTATTATCCATCTTTAAAATTAAGTGTCCTACAGAAATGGATAATAGATATTGGGAAGTAGGAATAAAATGTCCAAATGGCAGGGGAACAAGGGAAGGGAGAGAGGGAAGAAAGGTAGGGAAAAGGAAGGAAAAAAAGAGAGAATAGAAAGAAAAAATGGAAACAAAGCTTTTGCAAATAAGGAGAGGAAGAAGGGTTGAAGGGAGGGGAGGGGAATGGGGAAAAAAGAATCAAGATATATACAGGAACAAATTCCCTATGATGAATGTGATCATTATGTATATCAAAAATTTACAAATAGAATTAATTAAAAATAAAATTAAAGGGCAGAAAAAAATAAAATTAAGTGTCCTAGAGTTGAGCATGGTGGCACATACCTGTAATCCCAGCACTTGGGAGGCTGAGGCAAGAGGATCACTGCAAGTTTGAGGCCAGGCTGGGCTTCATAGTGAGTTTTTCAAGTCCAGCTTGAACTACATATTGAGACTCTGTCTCAAGAAAATCCAAAAGAATTAAATAAATAAAATAAATAAAAAATCAAATGTCCTAAAATTGAATAGGCAGGTGATTACTTATGAACTATTGACCATTTTATGCAAATCTAGATATGTGCCTAGGAACTGAGATTTGAAGCCATGATTTGGTTCTAGTGATGCCCTTGCCCTCCCTATCAGACCCTCTGGAATGACAGTAACATCGCAGACTTGCAATGTGACTAGTGAAAGATGCTATGGAGTTAGGAGAACTAGTCTTTATTGGTGCATTGAGTAAGTCATTTCATCTCTCCAGAATTCAAATTTTTGGGCCTGGGATTTAGCTCAGTGGTTCCGCTGCCTGCCTCGCAAGCGCAAGGTCCCCAGTTCAATCCTCGGTACCAAAAAAACAAAACAAACAAACAAAATTCAAATTTTCTCCACAAAAATTAGACCTAGGTTTTAGAGCTACTATTGGCTTTCAGATTCTCTATTGAAAAAGATAAATTTTTAAGAGAAGTTGTGGGTTTTGGCCTAATAGAGTTTTGTTAAAATACATAATCTAAAGATAAGCATACTATACCCCACCCATGGTCTAAGAATATGTGTTCTTCTTTTAAATGTTTCTTCTTTTGGTATGGTGTGATTTGCAAGGATATTTTGGGTTTGATTGTCACCCCACTGTTATTTGTTCACATTTAATGAAGCTAGACTCACCCCAGGGAGCTGTTTATGAAATTGGACACGATGCCATTGATCTGTATGAATTCCCAGAGCAATCAATGAACTGAAAGAAATGCACCCAAACTAAAATCACAGTAATTATTTACAAATGAAATAGGGAATTCCTATATGTTTCACTTTTAATTTCCAAATGTGATTCATGAGGAGGGGTCCCCGGTTGGTGTGAACTAGAAAAATACTACAAGAAAATTGTGAAAGACCAAAGGATATTTTGAACCTTGAAGAACTGGGCTAGACTACATTGATCAATATTACTGTATTCATTCTGGATTAGTGCCCCACAATCACCTGACTAGAGCCTTTATATCTGTAACCGGCAGTGTTTGTCCCACTTATCAGCCACACATGGTACTACTTTAAATTTCTGCGAGTCCAGTTGTGATTTTTATCATCCATCTGTAAGTTAAGTGGTAAATATGTGGACTGTCTTGCTTTTGAGAAATATATAGGAAATCCCTGCTGGCATAGAAAGCCAAGGTCTGAAATTAAATGCAAGAAAAGATTGCCAGATTTTTACATAGGAGATACTAAATTAGTGCTTATTAATGAAAGAAAACAGAACACTTCTAAAGCCTGCAGTTATTTAAAGGTAAAAAGAAGTTATTTCTAGAAAATTTAGGCTTACCAGTCTAAAGGACCTTGGCCTTGCGTACTAACATGTAGATTGTGTTTCTGTTTTTCATATAGGCCGAGTTTATTTGCTACTTAAAATAATCTCCATGTTTAGAAATGGTAGTGTCAACAGAGAAACATTATATGGTTTAGAATTTCCAAATAGAGAAGCTAACTATAATGAGTTTGTTCTTCCACAACAGGGTTTTTAAGTGATAAAGGAATCTTTTTTTTTTTTTTTTGATACCGGAGATCGAACTCGGGTCCTTGCGCTTGCAAAGCAGGCGGCGGAACTACTGAGCTAAATCCCCGGCCTGGAATCTTTTTAATATAATAAGTAATGGCCAGAAGTTTTTAGAGGCCAGAATATTTGTGGGAAAAGACTTTAACTCTTAATTTGACAGAATAGGGTTTAGGAAATTATTGCTTCAGTTAATGAGTTATGAGTCCAAAAAATTTAAATCTTTTTGTTTTTGTTGTTCTCTAAACCTCAATGCCTTCTGGACATCTTCATTTTTGTCCTTCAGTTTTGTTGGGTAAAATCTGTATTTTTTCAAATTATAATTACTGGCATTGATGTTCTTGAAAAGATTATAAAACATGTTTTTTATAATTTATTTTAATACTTTTATGGCCTACATTTTGACATTTAATATTTTACATTTTAAATACTTAATATAATTTAAAATATTTAAGTATTTTTACATGTAAGATTTTACATTTAAAATTTGGCTCCTTGACTGTATCAATGAAAAATTAAATATTTAATGAACTCATTGGGAATTTATTTTGTGTTTGGAAATAATTGGGAAAAAATCTAAAATTTCTATTTTTCTCTTGTATTTTTTCTGGATGATATTCATTTTTTTCTTTACACTCTTAGTTGACTTTATGGGTTAGTGGGTGTTCCTAGTGATGAAGTACTCTGAAGGCTGGGACCAGACATTTCACATTCGTGGTTGAGTTTCTGGCATCTGGCACAATGTCTAGTGATAGTAAGATTTCAGTTATTATTATTATTATTATCATTTTTATTATTACTGCAGGAGTTAGGATTGACTCCAGGGTTTCACTCATGCTAAGAAAGTGCTCTACCTCTGAGCTACATCTCCAACATTTAAAAATTTTATTTTGTAATGGAGTCTCACTAAGTTGCCCAGGCTGGGCTTGAACTTCAAACCTTGTGCCTCAGTCTCCCAAGTAGCTAAGATTACATGTATGCACCACCACATCTGGTTAGTAAATATTATTGAATGGTTGGAAAAAATTGTTTCATTATCTGTTTTAACTTAATAATATTTTCATGTTTTTCCTCTGTATCTTTCATATCTGGAAGTCTTCCACTTCTGAGAAACCTTTTAACCTATCAAGTATTTTAATCTCATCAAATCTTGAAAAGCTTTTCTAGGGTAAACCAAGCAAACTCTTCATGTCAACTATGTCTTAAGTTTTTCCTAGATCTCAAGATTTCTAGAGAAGCTATTTATATTCACTTTCTTTCTGAGTTAGCAAACATTTCCCTGATGATGTTCCAGATGTGACTTAGTGGATGTAATCATGTGTTATTGCTGTACTGTTTCTGTGTCTGCTTAATCTTTACTGCTGTCCTGGTCTGAGCCAATTCCTGAGGATTTCCTTAGCTGGTTTTATTTATTTATACTTTATCTTACAGTAAAAGCCATAAATAATATATGATAAAGATCTACTTTGCATTTCCTATTGATACAGTCAAGGAGCCAAATTTTAAACAGAAAAGACATCTCATCAACTATTATATATTGATATCTTCTGTCTACAAAGATGAAGATGCTATTAAAAGTTGTTGTCTGGGGCCGGAGATTTGGCTCAGTGGTTTTGCCACCTGCTGCACAAGTGCAAGGACCTGAGTTCGATCCCCAGTACCAAAAAAAAAGTTGCTGTCTGGAAGGGGAAGATAAACATTACAAAACTCATCTAAACACAGTGCCAAATGAGTGATTGTAAGAACTTGGGAAAGGGAAAATAACTGGCTTGGGATGGTTAGGGAAAAATTCCTGAGGAGTTGAGATCTATTAAAAATCATGTTAGATGAATGTAAATGTTGTGTTTCATATAAGTAGAAAAATGAACAAATCTGTGGAATAAGAATGCACTGTGAAAATACGAAGACCATATTAGTGAACCAGTATAGTGGAATGACAGGCAACTGTGTGAGAGACTAGAAGAGGGTAAGAAGTAAACTGAGTTGGATAGTGGTGCATTTTAGTGTTTTTTTCAAAAACTGATATTCTTTGGATACATTCTGTTTCATCAAGCATGGATCAGAAATGTTAGGGCTGGAAAATCCTTGATAATTTTGCTGAAAAAAGAACCTGCCATATTTATGAACATGTTTCCTTATTCTTGTACATTACACCCATGGGTGTATTAACCTCAGTGTTTTCTGTATATTTCAGACACTAATTTCTAACCATGGGGGATTGGAACTTATTGAGTGACATCCTAGAGGAAGTTCACTCCTACTCAACCATAGTAGGGAAAATCTGGCTGACCATCCTCTTCATCTTCTGAATGCTGGTACTTGGTGTGGCTGCTGAAGATGTCTTGGATGATGAACAGTAAGCATTTGCCTGCAACACCCAGCAACCAGGTTGCAACAATATCTGTTATGATGATGCTTTCCCTATCTCTTTGATAAGATTCTGTGTTTTACAGATTATCTTTGTGTCTTCTTCCTTCTCTGGTGTATATGGGTCATGCACTTTATAGACTCAGAGGCTTTGAGAAAGAGAGGCAGAGGAAAGAGTCACACCTTAGAGCTAAGATGGAGAATCCAGAACTTTACCTGGAGTAGCAACAAAGGATAAGCAGGGACTTGAGGAGGTTGGAGGAACAGAAGAGGATCCATAAAGTCCCTTTGAAAGGATGTCTGCTATGTACTTATGTCTTACACATTTTAGTCAGATCTGTGCTAGAAGTAGGGTTTATGATAGGCCAATATTCTCTCTATGGATTTCAAATGCAACCCCTTTACAAATGCACCCAACCTCCTTGCCCCAATGCAATGGATTGTTTTGTATCTAGACCCACAGAGAAGACCATTTTCACGCTCTTTATGCACAGCATTGCAGCCATCTCCTTGTTAATGAATATACTGGAAATATTTCACTTGGGTATCAGGAAAATTATGAGGGCACTTTATGATAAATCCAGCAGTGGGGACGTTGAGAATGAAAGAGGTCATCCATTCCATTTGAAGAAATATTCAGGGTCCCAGCAGTGTACAATTTGCTCTTCCTTACCTGAAAAGACTTCTTTAATTCAACCCAATAACCAACAGCAGGTCACCGAAGCCAATGTGCCAAAGTCTAAAACCACGTGGCATATCCCACAGTCCAGGCAACTTGAAGTTGATTTTTCCTGTATCAAAAAATACTGTCCTGAGAAAGATCAGCACCACGGACAGCTCCATGACCGCAGCCCTCGCCTCCAGGACGACAGTGCCACGATTCAGCACCAGGGACAGCACCCAAGTAATCCCTCCTCTGGCCTACAGAGCACCATGTCCCAGTCCTGCCTAGGTACAGTGATGGGCTCTAGACAATATTCATCCTACACATTGGGAACCTGGGAGCAATCCCAGGACCAGGCACCCTTGGGTGAACCTGTCACAGATTTGCACCGTCACTGCAGAAACAGTGATGGCAGTGTGAGAGAGAGTGGGGTCTAGATAGAAAGATCTCACCCAGGCAGTCACAAGGTCAGCTTTCTTTCCAGATGGATGTCTGAGCAGGGACAGCTGGACAGTGACTCAAGAAGCTCCAGTTCTCTGAATAGCTCCTGCTTGGATTTTCCACACCGGGAAAACAGCCCCTCCCCTCTGCCCTCATCCACTGGGCACAGAACATCGATAGTAAGTAAAGACAGCCAGCCATACAGATCACAGAATTATCACAAAAGCTGACCCACTCTGGCTACTTCTTTTCCTTTCTTCCTTCCTGGAATGTATATATACATGTGTTAAGAGACAGGAAGGTGTAGAAAGAAATTATTTATGAAAAGATAAATTCATTCATTCAATAATTCCATTTAATTAAATTCATAATTCAAACACGTGGATAACTTACTTTATGCCAATGGCTCTCATAAACATTGAGTGTATAGATGGATAAAATACTGTCTCTTCTATCAAAGGGTTCAGATGATAAATGGGAAAGTTAGATGTATATATAGGTGCAACCAAGTATAAGGAGCAATGTTATTGAGAGTAGGTGGGTTAAGGAAGTATAGATGATCACAGAAACCTTTATGATTGAAGTTACTTTGAACTCAATCTTGGAAGATGTGGTAAGTTTCTCTAGAACTAGGAGAACTAACTGCAATCCTAGTAGTAAAAACAGCACGAAGGCTACACAGCAGAACTGTCTGAGGAACTGTGGGTGATTAGAACAAAGAGAAACAGGAGGGTTGTGGGGAGATGGCAAGCTGGAGAAGTGGAAATGGAGGTCTTGTACAGGGGCAATGAAGAACTAACAAAGATCTGAAGTAGAAGAGAGACTGGATCACAATTGTATTTTAGAAAGCTCTTTCTGTCACAATGTGGAAAATGGATATAACCTTATAACTTCGAGTTGCCCTTGTACCACTAAGGTAGGCAGGCATCTACCATTGTTATACCTCTGGGATTTAAAAGTCATATACAAGGGCTGGGGATTTAGCTCAGTGGTTTCACCACCTGTTGCGCAAGCGCAAGGACCTGAGTTCGATCCCTGGTACCAAAAAAAAATGTCATATACAAATATTTAGTGATGTATTTCATAAACACTAAAACAATATCAAATTGATTTTAATTTTGTCCTCTGAAATGCCATTGTAATATTAACATTCCTTGGCCATTGTAATACATAATGGATATTTACTGGGGATTCTTCTCAGTTCTGGAACAAAAGATGACACTTGTTTTGCCCACTGCTGTGGTAGTTAGTTTTCCTGTTAGTTAGTTAGTTCCTGTCCTGTTAGTTAGTTGCTGGGAGACAATACGTGCCAAAGTAACTTGAACAGTTAATACCTCTTTTTATCTGCATTTGTGAAGTCAGAAAAAATATCACATCATTTTTCTTTTCTTGTACCTCTTTTCATGTGAGAGAAGCTTTTGTATTGGCAGAGATGAGGTGGGTAGGGGAGAGAGAGAGAGAGAGAGAGAGAGAGAGAGAGAGAGAGAGAGAGAGAAATAGACAGAGAGACAGAGACAGAGAAATTATTTAGTGGCAACAGATTTTCCTGTTCCTACTCCTTCAGTTTATCCTCTAGGATAGGACAGCCAAACTCATAAGCCTGAGCAATTAGGGTGTGGGGAGTCCTGATAACACAAAGATGCTAATCACGTATCATTCAAATTCCAATCATCATCAAAAGGAGTGGGTAAGGATTTTCCCACCTGATGATTAGATTCTGTTTTTGCTGTTGTTGCTGTTGTTATTGTTATTGTTGTTGTTGAGACAGGATCTGGCTATGTAGTTCAGGCTGGCTGTGAACTTGTGGTGATCTTCTGCCTCAGTCTCCCAAATGCTGGGATTATAGACATGTGCCACCACATTTGGCAACTTCTAGGTTTTTTTGTTTCATTTGGGAAGGTATTTTTCTGCTTAAAGTTATTACCAAGGGTGTTGTTAGGTGGCTATTTGGAAAGTGGATTACTATATATATACATTTTTTTTTTTTGGTACTGGGGATCAAACTCAGGACTTTGTGCTCGCAAGGCAGGCAGCAGAACCACTGAGCTAAATCCCTGGCCCAGGATTACTATATTTTATTGAGCATTTTGATCAAGAAGTTTAGCCCAACTTATCAAATATCAAAGGATCTAAGGAGCATGAAGAAGAGCACTCACTTTATTGAGGGCCTGGTCAGGTCTGGATGCTGCTATGGGGTTAAAGTAACTCTGTGGGGGCCGGGGATTTAGCTCAGTGGTTTTGCCACCTGCTGCACAAGTGCAAGGACCCAAGTTTGATCCCTGGTACCAAAAAAAAAATAAAAAAATAAAAAATAAAGTAACTCTGTGAAATTTCCATTTTATGGATAACAGGCTACTTGTCCAAAGTCACACAATTAGGTTGTGGTAAAGCATAGTTCTTCAGACACAGTTTAGCAGGGAATAAATTAATATTTATTGGAGGAAGAATGAACTGTTTCAACTCAAGCTTATACTCCTATATCCCATTGCTGCTTCTTGCTTTCCCTCAGGAGGCACCTTGAGTGTACCATATGTTTAGGATTAGGAATAGGTTGTTTTAAAATGGAATATTTGGGGGAAATGGGATAAAATAAAATAAAATTTATTTTAAAAATGCAACATTCTACATTTGAATTAGTTTCCTCTTTCCACATTATTGAAAGGTGAAAATCTGGCTAATTGTAGAAGAGACTAAGCTGGAGGTTAGGGAAAAGCCATTTAGCTTTAGGGTTAGATTTTAGACAAAAGGACAACAGGAGGAGAAGAAGGAGATGACAGATGAAGGTCCCTTGTTAGTGAGACAGACTCCATATTGCTGCTTGACCCACCTGCCTGCCCTTTACATGAACTCAGAAGGAGGAAGCTTAGAAACCTCCTCACCTTAGAGAGTCTCTTAGAAACAATTAATCAACTATTGTTTTACAAATGTTCCAACAACAGGACCTTCTGCTTCGCTTCTGTACCTTTTGCTTGCTTTACTAGTTCTATCCCATAGGGGGGCCTAGAAACTGTTGGCCTCAAAGGTGTATAAAACATGTTTGTCAACCCCCAGTCGAGGCTTGAGTCTGATGCTCGGCTCGGGTCCCCGCCGGTAATAAACTCCTGTGTGGATTTAATATCAGTCTCTGGTTGGTTCTCTCTCACTGGGTACAACAACAGATAGGCAAGAGGAACTCATTCATAACATCTCTGAGGAACCAGAGAAAGTCGCCTCCTGTAGCAGGTTTTGTTTTGATTTGTGATGTAGAGTATTTGTGACATAGAGTCCCAGTGGGTGGGCAGAGTTGATTTTTTTTTTTTACAAGTCTTAGGAGTACATTTTGTTTGTTTTCTGATTCCTCTCTTTTAGAACATGCTTCTAGAACTATCATCTATCATGAAAAAGTAATGTACCAGGAGCAGGAGGAAAGTTTTACTTTTGTCATGTGAGACTAGGGAAGAACTTTGGAACTCACATCTTCCATAGTGTTCTAGTTTGGATCTGAAATGTCCCTCAAAGACCCATGTCTTCTAGGCTTGGTCTTCACTGGGGCCTAAGGGAGGTCTTGGGTCATGGGGGGGGTGGCGCTGTGCCCTTTCAGATTGTGGAATTCTAGTCCTTTCCTTATCTTTCATGTCCTGGCTGTAAGGTAAGTGATTTACCCCATCACAGGCTCCCACCATGATGTGCTGCCTTGTCCCAGGTCCCAAAGCAACAGGGCCAACCAACCATGGACAGAAGCTTCTAAAATTGTGAGCCAAAATATACTTTTTATCTTTTGTTTGTTTGTTTGTTGTGAGACAGAGTCTCACTATGTAGTTCAGGCTATCCTTCAACTCACTATGTAGCCCAGGCTGGCTTCAAACTCATGTTGATTGTCCTGCCTTAACCTCCTAAGTGCTGGGATTTCAGGTGTGTGCCACCATGCCTGGGCAAGTTTTCCCTTTATGAATTAATTATCTGAGCCATTTGTTATAGTGATAGCAAGGTAACACACACAGAGGCAACTGGCAGGCTGTGCCAGGCTGTGGACAGGGTATTCTGAGCCAGGGGTCATCTCTATAAGAGAGTCTTCCCTTATGGGGGCTGGAGTCAGCATCTTTCTGTCCCACCTGGCCACATTGCCTGAAACAAGTTTGAAATCCAGGGAGAGAGAAATTGTGCACCATGAGAGGAGGAACTTGCTCCACAGGGAAAAACAAAGAAATGTGGGCTGGCTCCAGGGTCTTTTTCTCCTGGCTTCCAGGAGCCCCAAGGCCAAGACTTAGTGTCACCAGCCTGGTGCTGACTGCAGGTGCCTGGAAGCCAGGGCAACACCAGCCTGGGGCTGGATGGCCAAAGTAAAGGATCTACGACTGTACCCTGCTGGGCCTAAGGAGGTTTTACAGGAGAAATCAAATTACAAATTTTAGTTAATTGATAATTATATTTTTAGCTTTCAATTTGAGTTAGTGTTTTTTTTTTAATTGCTGTGCTTAAAGCATTTCTTGTGCATTACAAATTCTTGAACTTTAATTGCAGGGTTAACTTGCTCTTTGCTCTCTGTTGGTTTAAGACAAGAACACGGATTCAAAGTTAATTAGAAGTCTGTTGGCAGTCAGTCAAATTTAAAATGTAACAATCTGAGAACAAAGGAACAAAAAACAGAGAAAAGGACGCTTTAAAATCCTGGTGGTCATAGCCAAGTTTGTTATAGAAGGTTTGTAGTGAAGTGGAGAAAAATATTAAGAATGCTGTAAGTATAAGAGATATACTTTTTTGGGGGTGGAGTACTGGGGATCAAACTCGGGACCTTGTGCTTGCAAAGCAGGTGGCAGAACCACTAAGGTAAATCCCTGGCCATAAGAGACATACTTTTGATGTGAGAGGATTTTGTGTGATACAAGTTTTATCCTGCTAAAAAGATAAAAAGAGACATAATGATAAAACTGGAAAGATCATGTATGTCAAGGGAAAACTTGTGGAAGTAGTTTATCAAAAGAAATATGTATGTTTACTTGTTGGTTTGGTGGAGCCCAAGCTGTTCCTTCTAAAAGCTCCTTGTTGCTCAAAAGACTACACAGGGGACTATAGAGTAAAGCTGTCCCCCCAGAGGTTGAGAACTCTTTGTGAAATTGATTGGCCTTTCTTTCATGTGGCCCTCCTTTCATGTGGCTGGATGAAGGGATGATGTATGGGAAAACAACTGGGTGTGGGTGGTGACCAGAGACAGAGGATGGCTAGGGCACCCAGCCCAATTTCCTTACATCAA